TGTGTGTGTGTGTGTGTGTGTGTGTGTGTGTGTGTGTGTGTGTGTGTGTTGGCTTTATTTTGTTTTGTTTTGAGCCAGGGTTTCTCTTTGAAACAGTTCCTGGGTATTCTGGAACTGACTCAGTAGACCAGGCTGGCCTCGAACTCAGAGATCTGCCTGCCTCTGCCTCTTGAGTGCAGAGATTAAAGGCATGCTCCACTACACCCAGGGCAATTGCTGTTTTTTAAGTTTACACTTTTCCTTTGAAATATCAGCCTTAGGTAGTATTTCTGGAAGCATCACACCTGCGCACTCCGGTTCTAGAGCATTTGACGCCCTCTTCTGGCCTCTGAGGGTATGCACGTATGTGGTGCACAGACATACTTGCTGGCAAAACACACACATAAATCTGAAATGAATTTTATTTCTTATTATGTTGATCTTTTTGTTTACATCTTTGAACTAACCAGACTGCTTAGAACAGGAGATAGAAAAGAGTCAGGCAGTGTGATAGCTTCAATTGTCACCTTGTCACAACCTAGAATCCCTCCGGGAGCCCCTGGGTACAAATGCTTACAGTGTTCCCGTGGTGTAGCACTACAGAGCATGCCTACATCTCTGGAATTACTCAGAAATTTCTTTTTCATCTCTTTTTTCCTTTGAAATACTGTTGTGGAATAATCTTTTTTTACACTGTGAAGATCTGTCACTAGGACTGGTTTATTAAAAAGCTGAATGGTCAATAGCTAGACAGAATTTCCAGGCACAGAGAATGCTGGGAAGAAGAAGGGTGGAGTCACCAGCCAGATGTGGAGGAAGCAGGAAAGTAACATGGGCCCTATGGAGTAAAGGTCATAAAACCATGAGGCAAAGTTAATTAATAGAGATGGGTCAATTTGAGTTCTAAGAGCTAGTCGGAAACGAGCCTAAGCTGTCAGCCAAGCTTCCATAGTTAATAAGTCTCCATGTGGTTATTTGGGAGCTGGCTGGAGGGACAGAAAATTCCTCCTACAAAAGACATTCCAGAGCTTGGGTGTGCTTGCTCAGACACTGGGCTTTCTCATTCTTTTTCTCTCAAGCTACTCCTCAACCCCCTTCTACCTAGTGGCCACTCAAAGCATGCTATCTCTCTTTATCCACCCCAGCTCCTTTCTGCTGGCACCTGCTGAGATTTATAGCTCATCTGCCCTTTGCTCTCTTAAACTGTAGTGCAATTGTCCTTGAGAACTTTCAGTCTTTTTAAATTAAATAAAGAAATAAAAAGCCGGGCGTGGTGGCGCACGCCTTTAATCCCAGCACTTGGGAGGCAGAGGCAGGCGGATCTTTGTGAGTTCGAGGCCAGCCTGGGCTACCAAGTGAGCTCCA